AGTTTCCTTGTTATCCCTTTGGTTTTCAAATGTAAGGAAATAAAGATGAGAGAAGCTGGGAACTCTTTTTCATAAGGTTTCAAGTTCAGTGATGGAAGTGGTTCCCATTGGGCATTATTAAACTATGTCATTTTACATTCACACAGATTTTGAATCCACCACCTTCACCAGCTACAGATCGCTCCCTCTATAACACAGAAATATTTTATTCTTCAAACATTCCATCAACCACAAGGTCTTACAGGTAATGGCCTTTTAAAATCCTTTGGCAAAGTTATATTAAAGAAAAGAAGCTTCTTTAACTCCTACAATTTTTAATATTTGTTTCTTATATAGCAGCTTTGGATATAAAAGTAAAAAATATTTTCTTTTTCTAATAAAACTGTTCCAGTTGTCAGCTTTGTATAGTCTGATTGGTGGAATCTTAGAACTGGGAAATAAGGCTTGATGACTGGACTTAACATTGACATGAATGTTTAGACTGCTCAGAAAAACACATTTTAGTATTATCAGAACTGCATCTATAGCAAACAGCTATACTTTGGGTAGCAGAATGAGTCCTTTCCTGTGTAATGCAGAAAGCAATGGTAAGACCAATCAATACAACACAGGCAGCTTATGTCTACCAAGTATGGAGAAAGTTTTTTTTTTTCCAGACATCATTTCAAAGATATGTTTATGTTTATATGTTGTGCTTTGTAAGTCCAGTTATCAGCATAGGATGTGTATAGTGTTCCCTGGAAAATACTTGATTCATCATTTGACTAAATGTTTATTGTTGGAATTAGATTAGGCCTAACACCCAGCCTCAGTTCAGAAGGAGTCCGGCAGCACTTTTTCAGGTTAACAGTTTTTATTAAAAGACATAAGCTTCTGTAAGCTACACTTCACTACATTAGATGCAATTCATAAGAAGCTTTAGCTCATGCAAGCTGATGCCTTTAAATAAAATCTGTTAAGTCTGAAAAGGTGCTACCAGATACCCCTTGATTTTTGCCTACCATAGACTAACACAGTTTTCCTCTTTCAATGTACATAGCCTTAAAGCATAGGTATCTTATATGCCTTCAGGAATTGAATTTAAGGTGATGGCTGAATGGAATAAATACTTTGAGGCCAAGAGAAAAGTAACCAAATAAATCTTTAATATTATAAATTACTATACCTGTAATAAAACCAAATGGCTTCCATAATGGGAAAATGACAGGTGCAATTCTTGTCTTAATAGCTAAATATATATTACTTGGGAATTTAAGTGAAATAAACATTTAAATGCTCGGAAGAAGGAATCTCAAATGTACGTGAATATTCCCAAAGGTAGATAGTGCTGTGATCTTCATGTAGTCTTCCCAGTCCAGTGCTCTCCAAAAAAGTTGGATTACAACTTTCAGAATTTCCAACAAGCCCATTCATTAGCCATGCTGTATCTGGGAAGTTGTAATTCATCATATCTAGAGAGGACTATATTGGTGAATGGCTGCTCTATAAAACTACAGAAGTACAAAAGAACATGCAAAAATAGTATGATTTAGATCAGTGATAGTGAACCTTTTGGGCTCGGCATATCAAAAATTTGGAAAATGCCTAACTTGACTCTGCTGGCATGTTCCCCCCCTCCCCCGAACAAAAGAGAAACAATTCTTTACATATTCATTTATTTTAAAAAATACAGTCCAATCA